TCCCGCCCCCCCACCCCGCGCCCTCCCGCCCCCGCCCTCCCCCCCCCGAGGTTCGGTTCCCAAATCCCCCGGGGGCAGCGCGGTGCCGGGAGCCCCGGCCACCTTCCGCCGCCCGCCCGGCTGCCACGGCCGGGCACCGCTCCTCCGTGGGCGCGGAAAAAAGCGCGCAGAGATGCCCTGCGAGGCGGAGCGAAGGCGGCGGTGCCAAGTCGGGTTGGGAGGAGAGGAGAAGGGGGTTACTTTGCGGGGCATTAACCTCAGAAGGGACATGAACTGTGGCGAGCAAAGGATCCGGAGTGCGCGCCCGTGTCTCCCTGCGTGGGTACGCGCCGAGCCGGGATGAGCGGAGCCGAGCGGTACCGAGCGGAGCCGAGCGGTTCCGAGCGGGCCTGGCTTTGGGCAGGCTCGCAGCGCCCTCTGTGGGCGGCGGGCGGTGCCGTCCCCTGGCCCGGCGCGGCGGCAGCCGGCAGTGCGGGAGCGGAGTGGGAGGGCGGCGGTGGCGGAGTGAGGCCGCTCGCCTTTAATTCAGACAGAAAGACAGCAACATCCTCCGGAGTGTGCTTCCCGTTTTGATTATCCTCCGGAGAGTGATAATTCCCATTAGTTATCTGGCTGGCAGTTTTCCGCCTCAGCATCTCGGGAGCAGGCTCTGCTGCAAACTTGATTTTTTATATATATATATATTTTTTTTTTTTTTTTTTTTGATGATGCCAGCTTTCTTCTTTAGGGGTTCGGGGAAAGCTTTACTGTTGATTTATCAAAATTGTGTTTCGTTTGCTTTGAAACGTTTTCACACAAGAAACTAAAGAAGTATCACAGATTACAAAACGGCTTCTGAAAATCAATTTTTCTCAAGCATTTTTCTTTATTGTGGGGTAATATACAAAAAAGCTAGAACAAATCTTCTTTTAGAACAGTTGTGTTCATTTTTCCCTATAAACTGTTCGTGATAAACCATTTTTTTAGATTTTTTTTTTTTTTTTTTTCATCTGCTTGCTTGAATTTCCCACTCCCCTTCTCCCAGCAAGGTCAACAGTTGTGATGCTTCCCTCCCCAACTAGATGAGGGGTGTGGGTGTGTGTGAATGAAGCCCCGCAGGGCCAGCACCGTCCACTGTCTCTCCCCACCGCTCCCGGAGCGTTTGCCGGGGACGGTACCGACCTCCAGCCTCCCCCTTAGGCTGCGGAAGGCGGGGACGGTCCGGGGGGAGGAGCGGCGCTCGGAGCCGTGCGCTGCCGGCTCGGGCGGAGGGTGCTTGAGCCCCTTCCAAAGTTTTCGGACAGGAGGGCAAGCGGCTTCCCCTTAGAAAAGGGAAAGCCCCAAAGTAGTATGGCCACTGCGAAACGGCGTGTTGTTGGAGCGAGAAAAGCTCTCGCGTGGGTGCGTGCCTAAGCGCCCGGCAGTCCCCGAGGGCTGCTGCCTTAGCCTGGCCGTCACCTGAAGGAGAGATGCAGTTTTTGGTTTGTTTTCCCCCGCTATCCGCACCGAGGTGGGCATTTCTCCTGGGAGAAAGTTTCAGCGGGAGCGGAGGCGTGCGAGCGGTCACAGCGTTACGGCTGGAAGCCCGGGGAGGCTGCCGGTGGCCGCGGGGTGCGGTGCGGTGCCGGACGGGATGGCACACACCGCCCCCGGCCAGTTTGGGGAAGGAGCAAGGGCTCCATATTTCCTAGGTTTTGCTTGTCACGTGAGCCGTGCTAGGAATGATCGTTTACGTCACCCTGGCAGGAAAATAATTTGTAGTTTTTCTGTCATATTTTCCATTTTCACTGAGATCCACCCCGGCAGATGCATACCAGCAAATACCACAGGGTAGGGAGAATAATAATGGAGAAGCTTAAGCTAAACGATTTGCCTTAATTGGGAATGCTTCGAGCTGATAAGAGTAAATTGGAAAGTCCTAGTTTCATACTTTTTTTTTTTTTTTTTTTTAAACGATGACGGGACCCGAACCTGATAAGTAAAGTCAATAGGAAAATTTGGATTGAATCGGATGGGAGCTACACCGAATAATGCTTCTTCTAGAACAACAACCGAGTGCCAAGATACATTTTCTTGCTGTTTAAAAGGGTGGCAGTAAACATTTTTTTATACACGTTTGCATAATCTTCCACTCACCCCCAGTAAAAATTGTCTCGTCTTGTTTCTGTTATTATTTACTTAACATTAAGAGAATTGTGGCAGAAATCCGTGAAGAAAGAACACTGAAAAGTTGATATAATCTCGAGTTCAGCGAACTCCGAAATGAGCAGTTTGCCAGAACACACTAAGAGCGAACGGCAGCTTTACGGGGATTTGGCTTTGTCACAGAGACGTAGTTATGAAACGCGCTCATCGGTCTACGTGCCTCATTTTTTATTCTTTTTCTATTTTATTCTGAATAAAAGAAGTCTATTTTTAACCAGGAAAAAAAAACAAAAACAAAAACAAAAAAAACCCGCGGAGACAGGGAACGAGAAAATCCGTGGGGTGCGTGTGCTGGAACCGGCTCTCTCCCGCGGCTGCTGTCGTTCCCGGCTCCCGTCACCCCTTCCTGCTGCTTTGGCTGAGTTTTTGACGGGCTCGCTGTGAGGCCGGAGCCGCCCCGAGGCCGGACCCGCGGCGGGGGGGGGCTGCGGGGCGGTGCTGTACTCCCCCTCTGCCCCCGGGACCCCCGCACCGGGGCGGAGGCGGGAGGTGTGTGGGGTCACCTCTCCCGGTAACTTTCATTGTGTGACCGTATTTTCCTTCCTCCCCGCCTCCCCCCAAGCCTTCTTTTTTTTTTTTTTTTTTCTTTTTCCGTGGGCGCCGATGAGTTATTCCCGAGCGCGTTTATCTCCCCCGCAATATGGAGGGCTCCTGTTCCTATCTCCGTTGGCGTGGCCTGACACTGATGAATGCAGCGCGCGCGGCGGGCCCGCGCAGCCCCGCGCCATGAATCACACGCTGTAAAGTTTCGCCCTCGCCGGCCAGACCGTTACCGAGCGTGCGGGGCGGCGCGGAAGGGCAGGGCAGGGCTCCTCGCCGCTGCGGGCCACCCCCTCCCCGAGGGGCTCGGTACTGAAATCACCCGGCCACTGATGGCGGGGGGTGTGTGGGGCCGGACACACACACACACACACAACGTGGGTCCGGCGTTAGTTCCGCCCGGCGGGACACCCGCAGAGGCGGCTCCCCCCAGCCCCGTCCGTCCACCGCCGCCCGGCCCCGGGGAAGGGCCTGCCTCCCCGCTATGCCCCTGGGTCAGGCAGAGAGGCGGGAGAGGCCGCGCTTCGCCGCCTGGCCTCGGAGGTTGCCCGGCGGCCGCCATATCGGGTGGGCAACCCCCCGTGGGGCCGGGGAAGGGGCTCGGGGGTGAACCGGGCTCGGCCCTGTCCGGCCTAAGGGGCCCAGCCCGCCGGCAGGCCCGGGCCTTGCAGGGGAG